ATACTGATAGTTTCGTTCCGTATATTTCTGAAGTTATACAGCCTAAAACAACAACAAAAATAACCAACAAACATTGAAATTCTCCAAAAATAATTAGAAAAACTGAAAACGCTGGAACTGACTCACATTCTTTTGACAAGAAAAATAAAAGAAATCAAAATGGATATGTGTCCCGGAAGTGGCAAGGTGAACGGACGAACACTGCGACGAAAACCCAAGCTGACGAGATCAGAGAACGTGTTCGAACACAGCTCGGGGTGGGACTCGATCATCAGGGAGTCCCTCCTCCAGATCGCCTGGCCCATCTCCGCCAGCCTCAACGCAGAGGACGCCCTCTACATCAGGTCTGCCGGAGGACACTTCACTATAAGGTAGGTGAAGACAAGTCAAATTATTAACATCATACAATTGAGTCACGCCATTAATGTGCTTATTGAACTGCATTTGTATCAAAATTTTTTAAACAGGCACGTAAGAAATCAGTAAATCAATTCTCAATAATAATCAGGGAGTCACCTCAACATCTTAAGTAGCTCTGATAGGTGAATAGCTCCAGCCTTTCCTGTGGAGTTGCCACAAGGAAGTAAATGGTGTATTAAAACACGCGAACCAGATCTAACCTAACCTAACCTAACCTAACCGAATGAACCACGTGTAGAGAACGTGACTGTTTCTGAGCCGCTATGATTTATAGCATATTTTGTCAGTTTGGGATTTTGATGTCAAAATGCGATGATTCGAGAGCACAGGTTGTAAATCACACACAGACAAACACATATATCAAGACCCCCGTGCTGGCGGGGGCTTGAGCCGAAGCTCAACCCCCGCAGGCACAGCTAGGTGAGTACATCAGTGTTCCTGGACCAACAGACGATCATAATAACTCCAGGGTAACTCACAGTAATTTATTGCTCTCTTTGTATTTTTCATTATTCCTTGAGCAGTTACACACTACCTACACGCACACGCACACACGCACACACACACACACACACACACACACACACACACACACACACACACACACACACACACACACACACACACACACACACACACACACACACACACACACATACATATATATATGTATAAGGGGAACCGGTCCCTGAGCTAGTGATGGGGGTACTAGTGAGCTGGTGATGGGGTACTAGTGAGCTGGTAATGGGGGTAATAGTGAGCTGGTGATGGGGTACTAGTGAGCTGGTGATGGGGTACTAGTGAGCTGGTGATGGGGTACTAGTGAGCTGGTGATGGGGTACTAGTGAGCTGGTGATGGGTACTAGTGAGCTGGTGATGGGGGTACTAGTGAGCTGGTGATGGGGTACTAGTGAGCTGGTGATGGGGTACTTGTGAGCTGGTGATGGGGTACTAGTGAGCTGGTGATGGAATACTAGTGAGCTGGTGATGGGGTACTAGTGAGCTGGTGATGGGGTACTAGTGAGCTGGTGATGGGGTACTAGTGAGCTGGTGATGGGTACTAGTGAGCTGGTGATGGGGGTACTTGTGAGCTGGTGATGGGGTACTAGTGAGCTGGTGATGGGGTACTAGTGAGCTGGTGATGGGGTACTAGTGAGCTGGTGATGGGGGTACTAGTGAGCTGGTGATGGGGTACTAGTGAGCTGGTGATGGGGTACTAGTGAGCTGGTGATGGGGGTACTAGTGAGCTGGTGATGGGGTACTAGTGAGCTGGTGATGGGGTACTAGTGAGCTGGTGATGGGGTACTAGTGAGCTGGTGATGGGGTACTAGTGAGCTGGTGATGGGGTACTAGTGAGCTGGTGATGGGGTACTAGTGAGCTGGTGATGGGGTACTAGTGAGCTGGTGATGGGGTACTAGTGAGCTGGTGATGGGGTACTAGTGAGCTGGTGATGGGGTACTAGTGAGCTGGTGATGGGGTACTAGTGAGCTGGTGATGGGGGTACTAGTGAGCTGGTGATGGGGTACTAGTGAGCTGGTGATGGGGTACTAGTAAGCTGGTGATGGGGGTACTAGTGAGCTGGTGATGGGGTACTAGTAAGCTGGTGATGGGGTACTAGTGAGCTGGTGATGGGGTACTAGTGAGCTGGTGATGGGGTAAAAGGGTTGGTTGGTGACTGGGGTGTTACTGGAGTTGTATTTTTTAGTTTATTATCTACCACAGACGTGGTCATACATTTACTATCGTAACGAACATTTTCTATTGTCCTCCGTGGACGGAGTTAGAGATGTGTTACACTACATCATGTAGTGTAGTGAGTTACTGAGCACTCAACCACAGAAGGTGATTGCAGTTCTTAATTTACCATGCTAACATTTTACAATACAAACCCACAAATTTTCGTCTGCACTACGTAAACAGGGTTAGAGATCTGCTGCAATACATAGTGCATTGATCATTCGACCATTACTGGAGTGATGATGATAAACTGATGAGTATATGGCTTGGCCGTCCTGCCCTGCCGTGCTGCGGTTGCTCCTGGAGGCGACGGCAGCAGGAGGACTGAGAATACTGCCAATGGTAGCTTTACACAGTGGGAATTACGGATATCTTTAACGATCTTGGAACACTGACACTTTCCTCTCTCCCAAACTGTCAGATATTTCTGGGCTTGCCAGAGAAAAGTTTTGAAGGGAAGTATCATGATAATGAAGAGAGTTTGAAAGTTGAATATTTTTAAGGTTTGGGGCTTTATTCCAACTCGGTTTGTGAAGATCGTTCACTGACATACATCGTGGTACAATAAAGAGTTTTCCATACGACTGTACGAGTTTGAGTTTAACAGGGCGATGCCGTGGATTTAGTCTTTTCCTGATGTTTCGTAGTTTATTCTGTCAATTTCATTTACCAAAAACTTAACTAATATGCAGTAATTTTGTCCAATAATGGATATATCTATACAAGAATATTGTCCAATAAAGGATTCATCTCCGCACGCATTTTGTCCAAAATGGATATTTTTATGCAGGAATATTGTCAAATGATGATTAAATCTATGCAAAATTACCAACTGTAATAGATTTTAAAGAAGAGCGAGATATATTTTCCCTTCAATATTTAAACGTTACGTGGGTTTCATTTCCTGAATGTTTCACTCCGGAAATCTAAAGGTTATTTATGAACGAAAGATGACGAAAATTAGTTTATTGCTTGGAAAGGTCAGGAACCAAGGGTTTTTCTCCAACAACTTTAGCTGTGTCGTTCCCTGTGCGACCCAGTGTTGCTCGAATTGCAGACTCCTCGCACTCAATCAATCAATCAGCTACTTGAAACAACTAGAGACCCTAGAGCCGCCAGTTTCTTCTTTCAGCGCCTTAGGGGTGGCGATCCAGAGAGGAAATACCCAATGCATCCATGGTTCCTGCTCGCCATCTTAGGAGCTTGAGGAACTCGATAACCTGTGACAAGTAGCCTTGTATTCGTATTTTAAATATTTATCTGACATACCATTTCCTAATATAATAGATTTTAAAGGTATAATTTTAATATTATACACACTTTTCTTTCATGAAATGAAAGACAACATATTTATAGTGAGACAGACAGAGACAGAGACAAACAAAGGTCCTGGGGAAGGTCAGGCCAAGCACTTGAGATAGTCGTTAACATAAACACTCAGTAATGGGACGCACTTAATCACGAGAGCTCCTGCCATATACACTATTTTTGTTTTGTTTTTTAATATAATTTCCCGGACGTTTATTTAGTGACTTAGATCCGCAGACGGAAGGTTGCCTCATTATGGTGGTGATGCAGCGTAATGCCTCATTATGATGGGTCAGTAAGCTGACCCATCACCCGCTCATATTAACTCTAATCTAACTCATTACCACTCAACGCCTTTATAATCCTTCTCATTACCAGCCTGTGTATGGTATAAGCTAATGAATGGCAGCGACATTCACACTAAGGCTATTGAGAATATAATATATATATATATATATATATATATATATATATATATATATATATATATATATATATATATATATATATATATAAATAAAGACAGTGTCAGACCACGGAGGAAGAATTGAAACAGGAATTTCCTTAAGTGCTTTCGTATTTAAATAACACATCTTCAGAAGGATGGATTTACAATTCTGTGGTTGTGGATAATAGGCAAGAATGAGGTGAGCTACAATGTCGTTAATGAGATAACCAGAAAGATAGCTGCACACACCCCAAGAGAGACAAGAGAGACAGCTGCACACACACACCCAAGAGAAACAAGAGAGACAGCTGCACACACACACACACCCAAGAGAGACAAGAGAGACAGCTGCACACACACCCAAGAGAGACAGCTGCACACACACACACACACACCCAAGAGAGACAAGAGAGCCAGCTGCACACACACCCAAGAGAGACAACTGCACACACACACACACACCCAAGAGAGACAAGAGAGACAGCTGCACACACACCCAAGAGAGACAACTGCACACACACACACACACCCAAGAGAGACAAGAGAGACAACTGCACACACACCCAAGAGAGACAAGAGAGACAACTGCACACACACACACCCAAAAGAGACAATGCAAGGTTTTTTCTCCAAAAGAAGCAAAGAAGTTTTTTACTGTTGAAACACAAAAGCCACGAACCCTCTAAGGATACTGTATCTTTAGAGATACAATATATTTAGCTTTTAAAAATATTGTCTCTTCAGTCGCAGAAATGATTACAATGTTCTGAAGGAACAAGCAGATGATAAACATTCCTCGTTCACTAATGGAATTCTCAGAAGAAAACTTGAATGCGTCGACTTATTAATTTTGTGGAAATACATTAAGAAGACGGCCAAGAGATTAATGACGAATGATTTTGCATGCGAAAAGTATTCTTAAATGGACTTTGCAAATTTGCAACATCAAACTCGTTTATAAAAAGAAGATAAATACCCACACTTATGTGTTTATGTATTTTATGTAAAGATTTACATTAATGCTTTATCAAAGACTGAGGACTTTATCAAGGTATATGATAAGGTGATAAGGACGAGACTTACATCTCAACGGCTAATACCAACGATTATTAGCCGTTGATATGTAAGTCTCGTCATAACTACATACACAGACCTTAATGGGGACAGGAAGCCCGTTGGTCGTGGAGGATTCTCTCTGTTTTGTATGACGGAGGTTTCCGGGTTGTTCTTGTTCCTTAGACTTGAGCTAAGAGACTGTTCATAAAGGGCCATTACTCTGGGTGACGAGGTATGTGGCACAGGTTGTGGCCTCTGGTATGTGGCACAGGTTGTGGCCTCTGGTATGTGGCACAGGTTGTGGCCTCTGGTATGTGGCACAGGTTGTGGCCTCTGGTATGTGGCACAGGTTGTGGCCTCTGGTATGTGGCACAGGTTGTGGCCTCTGGTATGTGGCACATGTGGCCTCTGGTATGTGGCACAGGTTGTGGCCTCTGGTATGTGGCACAGGTTGTGGCCTCTGGTATGTGGCACATGTGGCCTCTGGTATGTGGCACAGGTTGTGGCCTCTGGTATGTGGCACAGGTTGTGGCCTCTGGTATGTGGCACAGGTTGTGGCCTCTGGTATGTGGCACATGTGGCCTCTGGTATGTGGCACAGGTTGTGGCCTCTGGTATGTGGCACAGGTTGTGGCCTCTGGTATGTGGCACAGGTTGTGGCCTCTGGTATGTGGCACAGGTTGTGGAATCTGGTATGTGGCACAGGTTGTGGCCTCTGGTATGTGTCACATGTTGTGGAATCTGGTATGTGGCACAGGTTGTGGCCTCTGGTATGTGGCACAGGTTGTAGCCTCTGGTATGTGGCACAGGTTGTGGCCTCTGGTATGTGGCACAGGTTGTGGCCTCTGGTATGTGTCACAGGTTGTAGCCTCTGGTATGTGGCACAGGTTGTGGCCTCTGGTATGTGGCACATGTGGCCTCTGGTATGTGGCACAGGTTGTGGCCTCTGGTATGTGGCACAGGTTGTGGCCTCTGGTATGTGGCACAGGTTGTAGGTTGTGGCCTCTGGTATGTGGCACAGGTTGTGGCCTCTGGTATGTGGCACAGGTTGTGGCCTCTGGTATGTGGCACAGGTTGTGGCCTCTGGTATGTGGCACAGGTTGTGGCCTCTGGTATGTGGCACAGGTTGTGGCCTCTGGTATGTGGCACAGGTTGTGGCCTCTGGTATGTGGCACAGGTTGTGGCCTCTGGTATGTGGCACAGGTTGTGGCCTCTGGTATGTGGCACAGGTTGTGGAATCTGGTATGTGGCACAGGTTGTGGCCTCTGGTATGCCTCTGGTATGTGGCACAGGTTGTGGCCTCTGGTATGTGTGGCCTCTGGTATGTGGCACAGGTTGTGGCCTCTGGTATGTGGCACAGGTTGTGGCCTCTGGTATGTGTCACAGGTTGTAGCCTCTGGTATGTGGCACAGGTTGTGGCCTCTGGTATGTGGCACATGTGGCCTCTGGTATGTGGCACAGGTTGTGGCCTCTGGTATGTGGCACAGGTTGTAGCCTCTGGTATGTGGCACAGGTTGTGGCCTCTGTGGCACAGGTTGTGGTATGTGGCACAGGTTGTGGCCTCTGGTATGTGGCACAGGTTGTGGCCTCTGGTATGTGGCACATGTGGCCTCTGGTATGTGGCACAGGTTGTGGCCTCTGGTATGTGGCACAGGTTGCCTCTGGTATGTGGCACAGGTTGTGGCCTCTGGTATGTGGCACAGGTTGTAGCCTCTGGTTGTGGCCTCTGGTATGTGGCACACAGGTTGTGGCCTCTGGTATGTGGCACAGGTTGTGGCCTCTGGTATGTGGCACAGGTTGTGGCCTCTGGTATGTGGCACATGTGGTTGTGGCCTCTGGTATGTGGCACAGGTTGTGGCCTCTGGTATGTGGCACAGGTTGTGGCCTCTGGTATGTGGCACAGGTTGTGGCCTCTGGTATGTGGCACAGGTTGTGGCACAGGTTGTGGCCTCTGGTATGTGGCACAGGTTGTGGCCTCTGGTATGTGGCACAGGTTGTGGCCTCTGGTATGTGGCACAGGTTGTGGCCTCTGGTATGTGGCACAGGTTGTGGCCTCTGGTATGTGGCACATGTGGCCTCTGGTATGTGGCACAGGTTGTGGCCTCTGGTATGTGGCACAGGTTGTAGCCTCTGGTATGTGGCACAGGTTGTGGCCTCTGGTATGTGGCACATATGGCCTCTGGTATGTGGCACAGGTTGTGGCCTCTGGTATGTGGCACAGGTTGTGGCCTCTGGTATGTGGCACAGGTTGTAGCCTCTGGTATGTGGCACAGGTTGTGGCCTCTGGTATGTGGCACAGGTTGTGGCCTCTGGTATGTGGCACAGGTTGTGGCCTCTGGTATGTGGCACAGGTTGTGGCCTCTGGTATGTGGCACAGGTTGTAGCCTCTGGTATGTGGCACAGGTTGTGGCCTCTGGCATGTGTCACATGTGGCTTCTATTTTGGATCGCATTAGAGATCATGAAAAAGTGTTGCAAGCTCTGAATTGAAAGCGTTCCCGCGGCTCGGTCCTCGACCAGGCCTCCTTTTTGTTACACACCTCCCAGGAAGCAGCCCGTAGCAGCTGTCTAACTCCCAGGGACCTATTTATTGCTAGGTAACAGGGGCATCAGGATGAAAGAAACATTTTGCCCATTTGTCTCCGCATCCACCGGGGATCGAACCCGGATCCTCAGAACTACGAATCCAAAGCGCTGTTGACCCAGCTGTCAGGCGTCCTAAGATTATAATTCACCCACCCGAGGACTACGCCCTCGGGTGAATTATAATATATTAATATATATATATATATATATATATATATATATATATATATATATATATATATATATATATATATATATATATATATATATATATATATATATATATTATATATATATATATATATATATATATATTCATGACTTGGACTCTTGAGAAATGAGTTGTGTCCAAATTTGTATCTAGTTTTCTATGTATATATTTGGTATTGTTCCGTGAGTCTCCACTGTATATACTTAAGGGCCAAAAGCTCTCCTGATAATTTAACTACCTCCCCCCACCCTCCCAACCACCCACCTGGACCCCAGGTTTCCAGCCCATACATCATACAACCCCCCTTCTCCTCTCCTCTCGTGTCTCCTTCATTTTACACTTCGTCTGGCTTGCTTACACGCGCGAGATGACGGTAATATTTCACAATATTACTGGTAATTCGGATGCTAAAAACTAGCTGCACATGACAAGGTAAAATTTCACTTGCTGAACATGACAAGGTAAAATTTCACTTGCTGCACATGACTCTAGGTAAAATTTCACTTGCTGCACATGACACAAGGTAAAATTTCACTTGCTGCACATGACACAAGGTAAAATTTCACTTGCTGCACATGACACAAGGTAAAATTTCACTTGCTGCACATGACACCAGGTAAAATTTCACTTGCTGCACATGACACAAGGTAAAATTTCACTTGCTGCACATGACACCAGGTAAAATTTCACTTGCTGCACATGACACAAGGTAAAATTTCACTTGCTGCACATGACTCTAGGTAAAATTTCACTTGCTGCACATGACACAAGGTAAAATTTCACTTGCTGCACATGACACAAGGTAAAATTTCACTTGCTGCACATGACACAAGGTAAAATTTCACTTGCTGCACATGACACCAGGTAAAATTTCACTTGCTGCACATGACACAAGGTAAAATTTCACTTGCTGCACATGACACCAGGTAAAATTTCACTTGCTGCACATGACACAAGGTAAAATTTCACTTGCTGCACATGACTCTAGGTAAAATTTCACTTGCTGCACATGACTCTAGGTAAAATTTCACTTGCTGCACATGACACAAGGTAAAATTTCACTTGCTGCACATGACACAAGGTAAAATTTCACTTGCTGCACATGACACCAGGTAAAATTTCACTTGCTGCACACGACAAGATAATATTTCACTAGCTGGACTTGGCATTAGGTAATGTTCACTAGCTGCACATGCCACCATAGGACCTTATTATACGTTTCAAGGGTTCTGTAGGCTTCAGTGCACCCCTTAATATAATATTAAACCACAGAAACATCTCCAGTTAATGAAGACAAAACTCAACATTTACAAACTGTTCTCATATCCGCCTTTGTGCCAGTTAATTAGTGTCCAACACGGCTCCAGCCTAATGTACACGGAAACTGTTCACTCCAGAGAGTGCAGGAGTGCGGGCGGGGCGGGATGGACGGGTGGGAACTGTCGGGGCGATTTATTGTCAAATAGGCTACAGCCAAGGGGGCGGCCCCACCCACCCGTGGCGTGGTTTTTTTTGTGCCCCCTCTCCGTATTTATCTACTCCTCGCCAAGCCTCCTGCCCCACCCTGTTGATCTACACACCCCCTCTTCGTCAAGCCTCCTGCCCCACCCTGTTGATCTACACACCCCCTCTTCGCCAAGCCTCCTGCCCCACCCTGTTGATCTACACACACCCTCTTCGTCAAGCCTCCTGCCCCACCCTGTTGATCTACACACACCCTCTTCGTCAAACCTCCTGCCCCACCCTGTTGATCTACACACACCCTCTTCGTCAAGCCTCCTGCCCCACCCTGTTGATCTACACACACCCTCTTCGTCAAGCCTCCTGCCCCACTCTGTTGATCTACACACACCCTCTTCGTCAAGCCTCCTGCCCCACCCTGTTGATGTGAGAGACACGCTCGTGTAGAACGTCTCTTCTCGGTGCTTGAGTTATTGTTTCATGCGTTTGAATTGGGTATCTATTTGGTTGGTAAACTGCGAATTATTTTATTTTAATTAAAATATTTCAACAACGATTATAATAAATAGATTATTATTATTATTATTATTATTATTATTATTATATTATTCAACGACGATATATATACCCTAATTCATATTTATAATTAAAATTATTCATAAATTTTCCTGTTTTCTTTTAATATTGATGTTATTCCTTCGATTCTTTATGGTTGATAATTGTATTTTTTTTTAAATATTTTAAACCATTTATTATCAAATGCATAGATTTTTATATTATTATTCAAATTTACTGTATTTCCTCTTCCAATAAAACTATCGTTATAACTTCATCCCATCTCGCTTTGGAAGGCTGTTACCCACAATCCTTCCCTCGTTACCACCCCCTTCCCATCTGCCCTCCTCACCCCCCCTCCCTTCCCCATCTGCCCTCCTCACCCCCCTCCCTTCCCATCTTGCCCTCCTCACCCCCCCCCCTTCCCCTCTTCCAACAGGTCTGGAATCAGGGAATCGCTTCAATTTACCCGTTGAATGAAGCACTAAAACTTTTGACTGCTAGCGATTTTTTTGGCGGGGCTTTGAACGCGAATTGCGGAACATTTTTTGGCGGGACTTGAACGCGAATTGAGAATCATTTTTTGGCGGGGCTTTGAACGCGAATTGTGGAGCTTTTTTTATGTGCGATGAAAAAGTCAGTGTGAGATTTTTATCAGGCAATGTTACCAATGAAATAGTGAAGTGGAGTTTGTGATGGAACAATATTAAGCTTACTGCTCTTGTGGAGGAGAAAAATGGGGATTTTATAACGGAACAATTGAAACTTGACCAGCTTATTTTGATGGCATTGTTTGTAATAAATCAAAGACGAGGGTTTAATTCCAGTTTGAGTTGGGGTGAAAGAGTGTGTTGGATTGCTCTGTGCTTCCTCTACCGTCTCTGACAAACTGCAGAGTGCTGATATACTGAATATAAATGCATTTATATTCGCTCTGTGCGCTCCGCAACGTATATTACACACACTACTAACACCCTAAGTAGGCATCTCACACTTCATCTGAAGGAGGAATTAAACAACACAACTCAATACCCCAACAACACCATCGTGAATCATCGGGATATCGTTAAGGACACCACAATCATCACACGTACCATTGACCGAAGGCGGCTGCTGCGCACACTTGAAGCATCTTTGTTCGTGAGCTTATCCCATTAATTAAATGCTTAAATAAATTTAATATGAATCATCCAGTCGTTTGATGGTCCACCTTTGACCCAGAAGGAAGATACCCGACACATTACACAACTATCACCTGTCGCTATAGTTCGTCTCACTCAATGCTTGAAGACAACTCATTACCAAGAATGGATTTGATGGGGTGAAGTGAACTCACTTATTTGACTCCTGTTGGCAAGCTGTGAGCTTTCCGTCGCCAGAAGCACATGGTAAGCCTTCCCGTCGAGTTTTCCCTGGAACAGGTCCCACTAATCGGTCAGCAACAAGATCCTAATTACTGCTGGGTGAACAGAGGCAAACAGTTAAGTATTGCGTCTAGTCAATCCTCCCTGGCCATGATTCGAACCCAGACCAAATCACTCGCTCCCATCCCAACCCCCCCTTCCTCCTACACTGTTTCGCGCGCCTCCTGGCAAACTATAAGCATGTTGTTGTTATAGATTCAGCTACTCTGAACAAGCTCCAAGTAGCACGGGCTATGGTGAGCCCGTAGTGGACTTACCTGAACTATAAGCAGAGTGTTAGTGATGATAAAGTGTGGCTGGGACCAACATACAGGCGGGGTGAAAGAGGGGGAAAGGGGGTAGATGGGAAGGGAAGGAAATGGGGTAAATGGGAAGGGTAAGGAATGGGGGATGAGATGGACATTTTGAAAGGGGGGGTGGGGGTTGTGGAGAAGGGAGGGGATGGAGTTATAGTGCAAGAGGGGCGCGCAGAGTGCTGGTCCCATCGGATGGTTGAAATTTGTTCCCTAACGAGCGTAATATATAATGGCTGTTAGCGGTAAGAAACAAGGTAATATTAGCACGGACCCTTAGGGAAATAAGTGTGAAGGAGAGTGTGAGTGAAAGGAAGAGAGAGAGAGTGGGAGTGTAAGAGATAGGGGGATAAAAAGACAGACAGACAGACAGACAGACAGACAAAACAGTGCAACATGAAAGGACAGAGATCCATAAAGAACTGACAAACATGCGGAAGGATTAAGAGATATGAGCACGGTAAGGATGCTGGGACGTGAAAAGAAAACGACAGATGGGAACAGTAAAGTATGAGCTAGAGATAAGGGGACCAGGAGCTGAACCCTGAACATGGAAATACGTGGGTTTACGCCTCCGCTAACAACTATGTAGTTGAAGAAGATAATGGCGAACGATGCTAATAGCAAACTCCCAAATTATGTAAAAGCAGAGGAAGTTAGTCCAAAGAGAATATTGATTATTTAGGACCTTCCCTTAGGCAACAGAGGAAACCAAAGCTGACTACTTGCATGTAGTGAAAAAGCCGTTTGGATCCTTGGATTACTATTCCTATATGAGGCTGTGAGGGCCTTAATGGAAGTACACAGACTAGGGCCATATATCGTGGCACATGAATATTCAAGAATTTGACCAGTAAAACAGATATTTATAAATTAGGTTGTACCAAATATCTTAACGAGACATATGAGAATTCTTAGCAACATAAAAGGCTTAAGCAAGTAATATCCAGAAAACTACGTGAATTAAGAGGAAAACAGAAGAAGAGAACGTGAAAGGAGATG